AGGTTCAGCCGACAGCTGTTGAACTTCCGTCGTGAGGTCGAGGGCGATTAAGACTAGATGTCTTGTCGGGGGCGAATGAAAACTACAGGACACTGAGCTCTTTGTCTTAATCTAAGTTATAATTTAACACAAAAAGACTGGCCCTGAAATCACAACGGAAGAGCTGCCAGAGGAACTGTTCCCGGCAATTTCGAACCGGCAACTTATAGGATGCCCAGTAACCTAGGAATAAAATTCAACAAGGGCTCCGTTTCGAAGGTAGTGGGTAAATTTACCTAGGATTAATTTATTAATGGTACTACTACTAAGACTACTGGGCATCCTATCATGCCGGTGGCTTAACCACCTCGAAATCCTCATCATCGTCGTCTCCGCCAGGTGGCTCGTAGTACGATGGCGGATCAAGGTCGTCATCGTCCACGAGCACCAGAGAATACGACATCATCGACATTGACATCGTCGACGAGGCCGCAGTGGCATCACGAGGACTCGGAGGCTGAGGAGATGGCATGGGCTGTGGATCGCGGTCGCGGGCGGCGGGACCGGGAGCGGGAGCGGGAGCGCCGCCGGGACGAGGGCGAGGCCGTGTGTGGCTGTCTCCTGGACATTCGGGTTCCTTAGGCTAGAGGTCCAGGTTGTTTAAATATTTTGAATGTTATAATTAAATTAAGTGGCTACAATGGACCGGGGTTAATTAAATTTATTAATGGTGCCGCCGAGTCGCGCTCGTTGCCGATCTCGTTCATCGCGGTCCGGCAGTGCCACGTCAGGATTGCAGAAGGATTCCTCCACGCAGAATCCTTCAGGCGAGATCGAGGTCGAGGACGCAAAAACTTAGAGCCTAGGCTTCTGATTATGAGAAATAAAAGTTGAAAAGAAAGCCGGGCCTTCTGCTTTTGCGACGCCCAGGCCCACGACTGATACAGTCGAGCTTGCTGCAGAGCGATCGTATTTATTTCCCCCAATTTGCTCAAGCCATCGGGGCCGAGGGCGATGAGGGATGCCACGACCTGATCAGGGTTTTAGTAGTTTGAGTTTAGGGTTGAGGATTTGAGAGAAACAGAGTAGGGTTAGGGTAGTTTACTTAAGGGTCCGATGCAAACAAGCAGCGCTCCACGTCTTGGAGTCCACCTTCAGCTCCGTCAGGGTTTCCACGACCCATGGAGCTGCTGTGGTGACGCTCCTCTTGACCTTAAGAGCAAAACCATTACAACGAGGCAATGGGTCCTTATTATTATTTAGATCAAAAAATTACTTATTATTAAATGCAGATGAGAAGCGAGCTCTTGGGCCGAGGGCGGCTCAGACGCAGAGGCAGCCGGGGGCGAAGGCGAGGGCGTGGGCGGAGGCGGCACTGGAAAGTACCAGAAGAAGCCGCTGCAAACGTCCTTGAAAGCCTCCTGGCACATTTTGCACAACCGGCTGGTTGCCGAGAGCCTCGCCGGAACCTCCGGGTCGGACATAAGTCCTTCCCGGCTAGGCAGATAAAGCCGCAGATCGAACATGCACGCGAGGGCGAGGGCGATGGACGCGGACCTGTGCCTCCCAGCGGAACCTTACTGGTTTAGGGAACAGGGTCCCCGGGTTTAAGGTTCATGGCTAGGGTTACTCATGAATATTAATAATAACATTTAATAACTGTTTTAACAAAGCCAAGTTGCAGATGACCTGGAAGAGCACAGAAACCTGCCTGCAGGACTCAGGCAGCACCATGCTGATGAGCTGCGCAAGGCAGTAACGCAGCGTCCGTCGCCCATTCTCCGTGTCGAGGATCTGCGTGGGCGTATCGCCGTCTCCTAAGTTCAGGATTCCTCTTCAAGCGGCTAAGCCCTGTCTAAGCCCTGTAAAGCCCAAAGATTACTGCAATGCAGGTCAGGAGCGGGCCTCGTCCCTCGGCCAAAGCGAGGGCGCGCGGACGTCCACGGTGACGTGGACGCTTCTAGGGTACCAGCTCTTGAGCCTCCCCACCATGCCGTCCCTGCCATAGAAGCCATCACCTGGGTTATTCCAACGACTTGAAAATTTAATTTGTCGTTATAATAATATTATAATTTAACGACCCAACTGTCTTAGGTCAATAAGTCCTGCATGCATCCTGGTGGCCTCTGCCGTTGTCATACCACGCCTCGGCCCCCCAAGCCATTACGATCAAGTCCAGGGCGAGCAAAACCTCCCTCAGTCGGCTGTGTGCCGCCTGGAAGGCCGGGGGCAACAGGCCCGTCGAGGGCGCAGAGGCGGACGAAGACGCCATGGGAATTCAAAAGGGCCAAAACTCAACCCTATCAGCCAAGCTAAGCCGCAAAGCCTAAGCTGAGCCTTAAGCAATCCTAAAGATTGACGTTTAAGCCTAAGTCGAAGCTAAGCCTTGGTTAAAGCGGCTAAGCCCAGCCAAGCCCTGCCAGCTGTCAAAGCATGTGACTCGTGTCGTGTATAGTAGTGAACACTATTAAATGTCATTGCACATGGCTGGCATGTCGAGGGCCCTGTCACTCTTGAACTGAAAACACCGACGGATGAATGATGTCAAGCTCAAGCCAAACTTGCAATGCAACCGACAGGCAATGACTTGCAAGCGACGGTGATACAGTCAGTGCCTGGGCATGCAGAAACCAACTTAGCAATTGTGTCAGCCGCACGTTCGGGCGAGGACGGTGACGGCGTCGCAACAATGGCCAAGGCCTCGTGTCAAAGTCAGATAGTTCCACTTCCAGCTGCAGACACTCCCCAAAAGCGGGTAAGTCAAAAGTGATGCGACTGGGCTCCAAGCCCACCAGTGCGCAGTTTGACCTGGGCAGTCAGGTGTGGCTGGTAGAGCAAGGCGACACACCACTTCGCAAGGCTTTGGGCTCCAAGCCCAGAAGCGCAAAGCCATCTGCAGCTTTTCACCTGAATCAGGGTTTAGTTGGAGGCTCGCGTGTCATCGTTGATGAGTTTACGAAGTTGTCAACAAGTCGGTACGAGGACGATAGGCGAGAGGACCCCTAATTTATTATTGATTGAAAAGGCTTCCCATGGTCGAGTCGTGATTCTACGGCTCAAAGATCAACCTCGTAATTTCAAAGACTCAAGGTCTGAAATGGAAAACCCAAGCAAATTGACCCAACGAGGGCGAGAGCACAGAGCTGAGGCCCTGACCCTGTGTCGGGCAAGGGGTTTTGGCCGTGATTAATCCTTCACCCTTGTTGATTATCTGAATAATTAAATAAAACCACACCCGAATAATCCTACCAAAATCACCCCTGCCCTTTAAAAACCTATTCTGAATTGGGGGTAAGGCTCCGAAAGATCCCTGACCCGAAACCTACTAGGTGCTTAAGCCCTTAGGGGCTTAGGGCCAGGGAGGTGGAGTAGTCTAATAACCCACGGCGCAGGTCGACACAGGTTTAAGTTTCAGGGATTTAGGGTTCGGGGTTTTAGGTTTAGGGGTTTTAAAGGGTTCAGGGGATTTAAGGTTCATGGTTTCAGGTTTTAGGGGTTTAGGGTTCAGGGTAAAAACTTAAAGTTTAGGCGTTATGAGCGCTAAGCCACAGCACAGGTTACCCCAAACGCTACCGTGAAGCCCAAAGCCAAGCCCTGCCCAAAAACCCTGAACAGCTAAAGCCCAGACTACATCTGAGGCGCTAAGCACTACCTGGCCTAGACCGGAAGTAACCCGAGCCTAAACCCTCAACCCCCTATTATTATTATTATTATTATTATTATTATTATTATTAAATTTACTAAACCCTAAACCCCTAAACCCTAAATCTAGACCCCAAGCCTACCTAAGACCTGTATCGGTCTCGACCTGCATCGGTCCTCAGGTTACCTAGACCCCAAACCGACCTAAGCCTAAGACCTGTATCGGTCTCGACCTGCATCGGTCGTCAAATACCTAGACCTAGACCCGAAGCTACGTAAGACCTGTATCGGTCTCGACCTGCATCGGTCGTCTCCAATCTAATAAATTAAATTCCTACCCTAGACCTAGACCCTAAAATTACAGACCCGTATCGGTCTCGACCTGCATCGGTCGTCCTAACTACAAGACCTGTATCGGTCTCGACCTGTATCGGTCGTCCTTAACTAAACCCTATAATAAGCCCTGAAATGATTCTGGGATCCCCCGCTGTCCAATCGACGAGGAGGAGCAGCAGCAGGAGGCACATGATCCAGCAGGAATTAACTTATGGCTTAGGCGAGGGCGAGTGGGTCTGGGTCCGGGTTTTGGGTTAGGCGATAGGCGAGGGCGAGTGGCGAGGGCGAGTGGGAGTGGCGAGGGCGAGTGGGTTTGGGTTTTCCCAGGGGATTAATAGGGTCTGTGGGTTTCTGTGTGGACTACAGGTGTGCAAAAAGCTACTACTTGAGCACCAATGACTATGAGTCTATCGACCACGGTTTATTATTAATAAACCCCATGATACCTAAATTAAGAACAATCCAATCCCATATGTGGGGGCAAAAAAAAAAGGATTCAAGGGTGCAACTAAACATCTAAGTATTAGGGTTTTAGTGGTTGGGGTGTGGGGTTCCAAAGGTTGATGGCTCCCAGAACTTGGTGCGTCAGTTGTGATGCGATGGGTCGCAGACGGATGAAGGCTAGAGCTCCGGATTGAGGGTTCGGAATATGGAGGGCTGAGGAAGAAGATAAGTCTGGATGAGGATGGTGGTGATGATGGGGGTGCGGGAAGATTTGGGGGTTACCGGTGGCGGTGGCGGTGGTGATATCTTCCAGGATCAATGACCTCCACTCATGCAAGCCCGAGGCCCAGAAGCCAAAGAAAGCCTCTCCGTAAACCCCAAACCCAACGCCCTGACCGCCCCTCCAAGCCAAGCCCAAGAACCTCCCTAAACCCCAAACCCGACACCCTCTGACCTCCTAAACCCTGCAGTAGCCCTAAACCCTCAAAGTCTAATCCCCCCATAAGCGCAAGGCCCCAGCACCTCCCTAAAACCCTACAAACTCCTTCCCAAAGCCCTTCGAAGCCTAATCCCTCCAACTCCAAGTAAAGTCCCAGCACCTGGAGCCCAACCAGTCGCCCCGGCCCCCCACAGCCAGGACCTCAAAAATGCGACTTCAGGGGCTTTCAGGCTCGGAGCTTGAAGGCTTTGGATCTAGAGTTTATCGCGTAGGGTCTATGGGGTTTCAGCTTTTTTTGGGGTTCGTAGATGATTTTCATTCATTCAAGGACTCTGGATTTGGATCTACAGTAGAAGCCAAAGAGTTGGAATATTATTATCGTAACTCCTCTAAGGTAAATTATAGGGGATCCTACCATTAATCCATATTCCAACTTTCTGGAGTTCCCTATAGAGTCTAGAGTCTATCCCGTAGGGTCTATGGGGTTTCAGCTTTTTTGGGGGTTCGTAGATGATTTTCATTCAAGGACTCTAGACTGCTTTGCGCAAGCTAAGCAGGCGCTTCGAAGCGAGTTCAACGTTTCTGAGGGCAAAAGACCTACCTCCAAAAACTCCTATGAGGCATCTGCTTAATCAGTCATGAGAAGTGACAGGAATCCAACAAGCAGGGAGTGAGTTTCAGGGTTAAGGGGTGCAGAGATTGGTCCTTATGTTCGAATTAGTCGTGGCAGCACCGTAGCAAAACAAATTTACACTTTCCGATGCTGTGCAGCAGACTTCGCTGTGGCCCAGCTCACAAACTGCTCCTGCACTGTGCACTCTCGTGGGATTATATGATGGTATAGCGGGGACACTACTACTAATGCTGCTACCGCTACTGCTACTGCTACTGCTACTACTACTACTACTACTACTACTACTACTACTACTACTACTACTACCACTACCACTACCACTACCACTACCACTGCTACTACTACTACTACTGCTGCTGCTGCTGCTACTACTACTACTACTACTGCTACTACTACGACGTCTATAAACCCCGAAACCCTAAACCTCTGACCCCTCGGCCCCCAACGGCAGCGAAGCCAGAAACGGCCACCAGGGCAGCGGAGACGCGCCGAGCTGGCCTGCGCTTGGCGTTGAGGGAGGGTTTAGGGTTTGGGATTTGGGGTCTAGGGTTTAGGGTTTAGGGTTTAGGACCCTAAACCCTAAACCCTTCGTGAAAGCTGAACGGTCTGCGCTTATATGATGTTGCATTCAGACGTTAGGACAATCGTCAGCTGAGCGAGCTTGAAAAGTGTAAACACTTCTGGTACCGAAGGATACTATTTGAGACTTAGACCATCTTAGTCTACCATCTTATGTTCTGTTGCGTGGTGCTGTTTTGAACCCAATCCAAGGCCCCGACCTTCCTCGAACTCGTTGTGTTGATGCTCAAGGCGGATCTTTCCATCATCAAGATCCGAGGACATGTCTTCACGCTCCCTGGCTGTCAGTTACCCTCCTCCCGACCCCCGCTCCTAAATATGTGCAAGACTCGGGAAAATCCGCCCCACAGCACCTCAAACGCCAAATTCCAACACCCCTACTGCCCCTAAACCCCAAAAGTCACAAACCCCTCAACCCTCAGCCCATGCACCCAAAATGCCAGAAAACCTTAAATGCCCGAAAGCAACCAAACAAAGCATCTGCCTCCAGAAGAACGGTTTGAGGCCTTCCTGCCTGTGGAACAAGGGAGGTTTCGTGGCTGTGGAGATGTTTTCTTTCCTAGTCGGCCTTCAGAAGGCTAGTGCTACGGTGAAGGATCTCCGCTTCAGGGACTTCCAATATGGTGTTCACAAGCTTAATGCGTCGTTCCCCACTGATTTTCCATGCTCTGCTGTGCTGGGTCAGCATAAAATACTCGACTGTACTCGCATACCAGATTTCTGCTGCAGAGCCTTGGTGTAACACAAGCTTTAAGCCTCAAATCCACGTGAAGCTGCGCATTACATCGCTTCCACAGCTTTGGGTCCCGAAGATCATATACAAGAAGGGTTTGGAAAGGTTTGGACTGACAACTTGAGACCAGATAGGTTCTCTGGGGTTCTATATTCGCTAACGAACCCTCAAGAACAGTATTTCCTGATTTGTCTGGCTTCTGTAGGCGGCTAACGGATGGACGGAACAGAGCTTCGACTGTCATTTCTTAGTTTAAGGTTCAGGGTTCAGGTTTGGCATTCAGGCTTTAGGGCTTGGTGAAAACATCCCGAAGACGAGGCACAACAGGTCTTGCTGTTCCTCAGGACTCCTGGGCACAGCAGCCATTGGAGTTTCTGAATCGAGCCTATGTTGCTTTCAAAACCAAAATGCAGGAGTGGTTCCCCCTCTCTTCTCGGGAAAATGAAGAAAGAGTACCAGATCTACCATCAGCTTAGCCTAATGAGTCGAAGAAGCTCTTCCTGTTGGTTCTCTTGATGGGCGAACTAAATGTGGAGGTCTCTATGAGTAGCGATGTTCCTGCCTCATGGTCCCTATATGCTTGCACTAAAAAGAAAACACCAAAACTCTGTTCGAACCACTCAGACTCAAACAGCACACGACGACTTGCGCGACCCTCTGTCCTCCACTTGTTCGCGCTTCTGCTTCTCAGGGATTTGACTTTCAGTCTTTGGCTTCAGGGTTCAGAGCTTAGGGTTTAGGGTTCAGGGTCTAGGGTTCAGGGTTTAGGGTTTAGGGTTCAGGGTCTAGGGTTCAGGGTTTAGGGTTTAGGGTCTAGGGTTTAGGGTGCTGTCGGAGTTCATTTCGAGGTAGGCGAACCCCATGCTCCACCTTGAATTCGGGAACTTTAAGGCTGCTATAGGGGCCTTAACAGTTAGAATAGGGTCTTGGGGCCCATTATACCATATTTTTTACAACAAGAAACCCCAGAAAATGGTATTATATGGTAATTCTTGAGGCCCCTATACTATGCTTTGCGCGGGCATGGCAAGAGTGTGGAAGTGCGAACGGCTGTTGGCCCCACAGCCAAAACTTCAATACTCTCCAACCTTGCAGAGCACAAACCACAACCTCCGGCCCTAAACCCTAAAAACCCAAACTACTGCGTCTTTGCTGGAATTCTGGCAAAAAACAAGCCAAGACACCCTGAAACACCTTAACGGACAGGACTGATCCGTCTAGCCCTAAAACCCGAAACCCTTCCAGCGAGTTCTATGGCAGGGCACTCGTCGGCGAGGTCGGTTGGCTCATAGCCCTTCTCATGCCTGATATGCATGTGTAAATATATACATGTATATATTACATACGTACATACATATGTATGTATTAATTGGGAGCTTAAGGTTTAGGGCTTCAGGATTCGGTTTTTGGGGTTTAGGATTTAGGGTTCAGGTATAGGCCAGGGGGGTGAGGGTTTGGGGTTGGGATATATCGGTTAGGGTTCCTACCCCAAAGACTAAATTCAGTTGCATGCACACGAGTCTGACAAAGTTCTGATTGAAGGAATCTTCGAAATCTAAGTATGAACTTCTACGAAGAAATCTTGCATGCAAAACCTTGCATGCCTTTTCCAATCCGAAACGACGTAAGCCAGCCCCCAAACCCTTGCATCCCAACACGCCTTCAGCTCGTGAGCCCTCTATAAACCCCCATCAACACACTGACCGCGCTCTTCAACCTAAAACCCTACATATCCCAGAAGCAAACACAAGTCTTTCGGGTTTTTTTTTAAGGGGTCCTTGAAAGGGACCTTGTTAGAGAACCCTCTAGTACCCCTTCAAAGGGTACCCTAAGATGCAACCCCCTTAAAGGGACCCTCCAGCACCCTTAAATTCAAGGGTTCCTTTAAACGCACCAAAGCCCTAACAGGTTCGGGCCTTCCCTTTGGGAGAGGCAAATCCCACCTGAAAGAATGGAAGGCTTCTGGTGGGGCTCCGTTTGGGGTTTAGGGTTTGGGGCTTTTAGGCTTTACAGGGCTTTAGGGCTTTAGGGTTGAGGGTTTGGGGTTTAGGGTTTAGGGTGTGGGGTTTCGAGCTTCGGGTTGGGTGAAGGGGCTAGGGACAGGGATTACAGGGTGTGGTTTGCTGAATTTCGGGTTTGGTGTACGCTTTACTGTCGGGTTGGGGGCTTCTCCAGACCCTCCAATATCACTGAACTAAGGAATATACCGTCCATCACATTCGGGATCCTACTATAGGTTCAGGCAGATTGCTCAATCATGAGTCGGGGCTTGGGGCTTGAAGGTGCCAGGCGCAGCCCTTGGGCGATTGGAAGAAGGCAAGCTCTTACCGCCTTACCTGGGTTCTTGTTAAGGAACTTAACTGAAGCTGCCAAAACAAGGAACCGCATTGTTCATCATAGATCCCTAATATGGTAACATATATTGACGTCCATAATAAGAACCCAGTTATCTGCTTCAGAACACGCCTGCCACGAGGCTCATGGTGACTTAGGGTTTTTTGGCGTGGAATTTGAGTTCCAAGGATTGGCGACTACATTTGGGGGTTTGTTACTCTCTAAGTTGCAGAAGTCTCCATAAGGCAAGGTCCGAAAAGCAATGAAGGCCCCTTGAGGCTCAGCAGCCCCGGAGCGATCAGAAGTCAGGGCTTTCAAGGGTTTACGGTTCATGGTTTTTTGGTCCGAATCCGACGTTCGGCCCTTCTCTCTTTAGGGGCTCTAGGTTTTAGTTAGGGTTTACTTTAAAGGATCATGGGACTTAGTAACTGGGTTTCTAATTGGGGTAACTGTACTTATAACTACTTATAACCCCAATTAAGGTACGTATAACCTGACTTACTAAGTCCCATGATCCTCCAAGTAGGGTCAAGGGCCGAGTGCCCCGTCTCAAATACCCGTGGAGAGTACCTCGATGAACGAGAGGAGGTCGTCTGCGAGGGACTGTCGTCGGCCATCTCTCTGGCATCCATGGCCTCAGGCTTAAGACTTTGAGGTAGAGTCGGCCTGGGTGGGGCATGTAGCATAGCCTTGTCAAAAATGTTCCCTTTCTAGTCCTTATGGAAGTTTACTATAACATTTCCAACAACCCGATTTTAAATGCTAAGGCGCGCAGCCAGAGTAGGATGCTGTATGTGTTTGACTGAGTCCGGAGACTTCCAAGCAGTTCAAGACCAGAAGCGGATTTGTCGGCGTGGATGGCTCGGGCTTGAGGCCAAAAGCCCTAAAACCAAAACCCCCGGAATCTTAGCAAAAAAAGCCGTAACCCGTTCAACAACCTCTGTGGAAATCCCGAAACACTTGTCAGAACCCTTGCGAGGTCAACCTGAACCACCCTGTTGTGAAGACCGAAAACTTGCAGAACTCGAGCTCCATGTGGGGCCTCAGTGATCTTCTATGCATCCCAACACAGAGCTAAAACGAAACTCAAACCTTAACCCCAACATGTGCAACGATAGACTCTAATCAACCCTCTAAGCTGAAGCCCTAAATCCTTAAGCCTACACCTTACCCATAGGCCCCAAAGTAGTTCCTCCTTGGGATTACCTTATAGGATTGTATATACAAACCCCAAAAAAAGAACTACTTTGAGGCCTTAGGGTAGCTCCGACTAAAAGGGGCTCCGAAACCCAAAGTCCATACCAGAGCCCAACTCCTTACCTTTGGTAGGGAATGGAGGAATGGGGTATAATTATAACTACTATTACGACCATTCTTCCATTCCCTGCTATCCAAAGGTAAGCCTCTGAACCCTAAACCCTAAAGCCTAAAGCCGCAAACCCTAAAGCCCTAAACCCTAAACCCCAACTCTGAACTTGAACGGTAAGGAGTCCAGAACCCATAAAACCCTATAGATCCCTTAAAGGAACCCTTAAAGGAAACCACCCCTTAAAAGGGATCTACTTTTCAGAGTCCAAAACGAAACCTGAGGCTCAGGCGGCTGTCCACAGACAGCGGCTTTCTCTCTGAGCCGAGATGCGAAATCAGAGCGTTTTTAAAGGCTTTGGGCTCTGGGTCTTTCAGGCCGGTAGGGCGTAAGTAAGGTTATAAGTACCTTAATTGGGGTTATAAGTAGTTACAAGTATAGTTACCCCAATTATAACCCCTAGTTACTAAGTCCCATGATCCTTTAAGTAGGGCTTGGGTCCAAAGCTTAGGATGGAGGGGGTGTTTAGGGCTTTAGGGTTTAGGATCGTTCAGGGCGGATCCCGGAATTGAGCGATTGAAAGTCTAGTCCATTTCGGATGTCTTTACGGGCTCGCGTTATAGGGGGTCAGAAACTAGCATGTAAGGCTTTGGGGTCTAGGAATTTACGTCAAAAAGAGGTTTACATGGCTTTGTTTGGGCCAAGCACTAATAGCCTACCCTACCGAGATGAACTCCAAGTCTCGAAATTGAAGATTTGGCTGGCGTTTGGATGAACCTGGAAAGCTAGGTCCCAAACCTCGGGGTGCTTTAGGGTAGCCCTTGACCGGTTAACCGAAGGGGGCATCCTCTCTGCAGCCCACCTTGTAACCTACTACAAGAGCTTAAGCAATCAGAATAGGTTTGACCCGAACCCTAAACCCTAAACCCAAACCATAACTATCATAGGGAATAGGGAGCCCTCAGGACTAACCCTACAGCACTTACAACATCCGCGAGGTACTAAACTTTTTTGTACCAAGCACCATGGAAAGCCTGGACCAAAGACCCAACTTATACCGCTCAAGTCTTGAGAGTTTCGGTTGGAGGATGCAGAGACTGTGTGCCTAAAGCCCTCTCACTCCTTACCAGAAGCCCCAAAGTAGTTTCTTTTTGGGACTACCCTATAGGATTCTATATATGAACCCCAAAAAGGAACTACTTTGGGGCCTTAGGGTAGACCCATACTCCGAGTCTGAATCAGCCTTCCTTGTATCAGAGCATCGGCGATGTTAGACTGCGATTTAGGGTTGCTTTCGCGTTCAGGGTTAGGGTTAATTTGGGGGCCTTAATAATTAGAAGGCCTATTCTACCAGGAACCCCCCAAAGTAGTATAGGTAATTATCTAAGCTCCTATGTTAGGGTTACCTCCGACCCAGATCCCCAATCTTGCGTGCAGTCTCATCTCCTCAGCTTCCGCGTGCCTCGCACCCACCTTCGCTCGAAGCCGCGGGTGGTGGATTAAGGTTTAGGGTTTAGGCGTTGCACAGGGAAAACCTCCAACGCCCAAAATCGCGCCGGCATCTATCTAGTTTTCCGGCCAGTCTCATGTCCAGAATTACTGGGTTGTAGTTCTGAGGCTCTGAAAAGGATTTATGAATACGTGCCTCTATAGGAACCATAAAGGGGTATGAAAAAGGTTCCCAAATTCCCTCCCGATTGCAAGGCTCAAAAAAAGAAACTCCTAGCGGCAACGCCTAGAAGCTCCAAGCTGGGAGCCTTATAAGACCGCATAGCAATCCAAGGATCCTAAGCCCTGGAACGCTAAGTTCCTAAACTTGCGCTTACAGCAAAGTGCGGAGCCTCAACTCGCAAGCTTTCGAGCCCTCAAGGGTTTTGTGTGCTGCAGAGCCTAACGCCAAGCGGCTCCAAAGAGCCCCTGCATTTAGGTTGCTTTGGCGGAGGGTGTTGGATGTGTAGGTTTAAAGCTTCTTTTGATGCTTTCGAGTTCCTGCAGGTTTGAGGCTTAGGATAGAAAGGAGCCTCTGTAGACCACAATCAGTCTAAATTCGAAATGACACGGCCCTAAACCTTTCTTCAACCTCACCTCGAAAGCAGAGCGAGACTTAAACCGCCGGCCATGGAAAAGCTCTACACTCTGCGACTCCGTTTCCGCAAAAACCCAGACACTCTAACACCCCTGAGGCCCTGGACCCTGAACTCCAAAACAAACATCCCTAAGAAACCGCGAGGGAGGAAGCCAGAGCCCTTCAAAGGACCCCAAACTCGGATACTGTGCTTCCGGACCAGCGCCCTCTCGTGGAGTTGGCGATGGTGGACCGAGCTCCCTCCCGAATTGCAGGGTGTCTTACGGCTCAAGGGCGCAAAGATCTCCGTAAAGGCTGACGGGCTTCTAGGGTTTACGGTCTACGTCTCTTTAAAAGCTTGAGGCTTCAGGCATAAGGTTCCGAAGCCCTTAATCAACCCCTCTAAAACCCTACAGGAAGCATGTAAATCCATGTGGAACCCTAAAAGCCCCATTTGTAGTTCGATGACTTCGGCTCTGACCCCGGGCTGGTGTTTCAAGTCATCTTGTTCCCAACTACAAACCCTAAATCCTACGGCAAAAGGACTAAGCTCCCATAGCTAAGGTAATGCAATGCGTCACAGGAAATGGAGGCAGCTTCTGATGCTCAAGATCGCTGCACTATGCTCCAGCCCAGAAAATCGCTCGCCAAATCCGAAACCCCCCACCTCAAGCGGAAAATGCAAGACACGCCGTGCGCTTCACTTCTGAGAGCCGACCTGGACGGTAACGGCCGAGTACATGAAGTGCTTCTTCTTCCTTGGTGCAGGCGGGCGCCAGGTGGCGCATTGCTTGGAGGATCATGGGACTTAGTAGGTCAGGTTATAAGTACCTTCTTTGGGGTTCTGATCCTTTAAGTAGGGATGCAAGCTTTCGGGATCGTTGTGTACGTCTCACCGGCGAGGGCTTTGGGTTTCTTTTCGAGAACTCAGCTTGAACTTCGGATCTCCTTGCCGAGACTGAGCTGAGTACTTGGATACGAACTCCAAGGGTTTAGGGTTTAGGGGTTAGGTATCTACTATCTAAACTCTATGTGGTTGGTTTTCAAAGTTACGGTCCCTTTTTGGATCCTTAGTAGAATACGGCACCTAAGATTTAGGGTACCCAAAACGGGAGCCTAACTTTGACAACCACCCACATGTTGGTTTTAGGGTTAAGTTCCGGGGCTCACCCTATCAGCCACCGGCTTTCGGAGGCTGGCAAGAAGACTTACGGTTGATGATATAAATCCTAGGGTTCCTTTAAAGGGATCTAATAAGGGGTACCTTTAAGGGGCTCCTTTAAGGGATCTATAGGGGGGGTTTAGGGTTTAGGATGATATAAATCCTGCATTACCCATAATAAGGCATATGCCGTAATTCCCATACTTTAGGGTCCTTGAGGTAATGCAGGATTTATCTCATCAACCGTAGTTTAGGCTAGGTGCCTATGGCCGTGGCTCTCAGCTTCAGAGCTTCGCGCTCAGGATCTTGAGAATTTAGTTGAATAGGGTTTCGGATACTTAAAGGATCATGGGACTTAGTAACTAGGGTTATAATTAGGGTAACTATACTTATAACCCCAATTAAGGTACTTATAACCTTGGTTACTGAGTCCCATGATCCTCCAAATAGGGTTTCGGATAGGTTATAGTATGATTACAACAAGGACCCCGAGGTAAAATCTTGGTGCTCATTCCGAATTCTATGGTGGGGTTGAGGGTTTGGGGTCTGTTTCGGCTTCGAAGTTACATAATTCTCACAACACCAACAAAAACGCCAACATGATAAAGCTGCCATAACATAACATGATAGCCAGAGTAACTATAAGCAAGCAGCACAGCATGACACCAACCGCACGAATGAAAAATCTGCGGAAAACTAGAATCAGCAGAACTGTCCGCAAATCTGCAGCAAAAAAGGCATCGGTTAGCAGCAGAGACAGAAATAATAATAATAAATAATGACCATTGCAACAGCAGTCGCAATGATGCTAACAGTTATCGTCTCAGTCAAAGTTAAGCAAGAAGAAACTATGACGACAGCAATACTGACAGTGATGACTGCCAGAAGTAGCTCACAACAATGAGAACACTATCAGCAACAGCAACAATAATAAGCGTGACATGCAAGTCTCAAGGACCAAACTCTTGTAAGACCCTCACACAATCTTTTTCCGAGCCCTAAACCCTAAAACCCCATGTGCCAACCCTTGTAACGCCCGTGTAACGCCCGAACTCGAGATCCAAAAAGAACGCAGTGATCTGGGCCGCCACGCCCTTCG